GTAGCTACAGCTTTACTTCTGACCTCTGTGAATCTTGTCATCTCTGGGAGAGGACACCTCACCTTGAAGTTTTAAAAATCTTTGTCCCAGACTGGGTTCAAAACCTTAACTTCCTCTGCCTTAGTTTTCTCGTTTGTAAAATGGGAATAATAATACCAACCTTATGGGGTAATTGTGCGGATTAATTGAGCTAATGCATGAGTGTTTAAATAGTAGCTGGTGCACAGTCAGGGCTCGGTGGATATTAGCTGTTAGTATGGTAACCATTGTTCACAGAAACAGAGGTGGTGCTATAGTTTATAGACTAAACTTCTTGACCCAGCCCCTCTATCTGGAAGGCTCAGCAACCTCCCGATCGCCAGATTGATTTGGTGACTGACGCTCAGGTAAGTGACCCTGCAAGAGGGTGGCTCAAGGGCCAGAACTCTGACCTCGGATTAGATGCACCCACTGCCCACTTCTTGAAGACTGTCTCCAAGCGTCAGGGCCTCCTAGACACGCGAGGATGGAAGGAACAGCAGGACTCAGCCACCACAGTCCCCCAGTTGGGGAATCCATGCTTGACAGACCATGCTCAAGCCTGTACTTGCATTTTTTCAGATGTGGGGCACTTGCTACCTCCATTTCCAAACAGCATCCCTGTCCTGAGCCAAAGTCACCTTTTTATAATTTGTTTTTTGTTTGTGTTTCTGTATTTTAACTTAGAATCCAGAATGGTGGCATTGGGACAGGACTTCAGGAATCATCCAGTTTTCTCACCTGGGCTCACCCAGGGACCTGCTCTCCCCCAGTCCTAAGTGATGGATCTCCTGCAGACCTAGTTCAATAGTGGCCCAGAAGGGGCTGGCTCTGTGAAGAGAGGAGTCAGCAGTGACAAGTTCTGGAAGAGCGCCGTAGGCATGCAAGCAGGGAAGTAGTTTGTGTGCCGGGCATGGCTCTCAGGTTGCGTGTGCACCAAGTGCTATGACAGCTTTGGAGGAGGAGGGCAGAGTTCAACTCACTCCCAGGTTTGGGTCCCAGTTTCCTGCTTTATGTGTGACCCCGGGAACGCCACGTCATCACCCCCTGCCTCAGTTTCCCCGTCTGTAAAATGGTAGTGATCTACCCCAGAGAATAGTTGTAGGGAGGAACCATAAACACAATACAGTCTCCAACACTTAGTAGGTGCTCCAAAAAAAAAAAGGTCCTAATTGTACATATAGAGTGAGAATTAGGACGCAGGCTGTCAGCGCAGGGTCCCCTGGGGTGAGGTGACGTCTAGGGAGCGCAGGCTCCCAGCACGGGGAGGAGGGGACAGCAGGCAGGGTCTGGGGCTCGTAAGTCCCGGCCGTTGCCCACTAGCCTCCCAGGTTTCTGGACCTTTCAGAATCCCAAGGTGCGCAACTCCCGTCCTGCCATGGGGGCCTCTGGAAGGGACGAAATCACACAGCCGCTCAGATTTCCACAGGAGGTTTGCTTTTTTTTTTTTTTTTTTTAAGCGTCCTGTTTTAAATTGCTTTGTTTTCTTTGGGTCATATGACCGCTCCCCCTCCGCCCCCGCTGGCCCGGGGCGGGCGCGGCGCGGGTGTTGCAACGTCTGGCCGAATGTGGGGATCAGCTGCTGACCGCCACCACGTGACCCGCCGCTGGGATAAATGGACGGCGCGGCCGCGCTCGGCACAGTCACTCTCGCACGTCCTTCTGCGCGTCTGGACACGTCGGAGCCCGCACCGGAGCCAGAACCGAGCGCCGGCCGGATGGAGCGCCCGCAGCCCGACAGGCAAGCGCGGGGCGCGGGGCGCGGGGCGCGGGGAACCGGTCTCTCCCGGGAGGGCAGCCCCTGCCGTGCCGCCTAGCTGTGGTCTGCAGTCCCTCTCCGAGACAGAGCCGGGAAGCCTCTTCTCTGAGTTCCCTTGGGCTTTGGACTAAGGAGGAGCCCGGTTTCGGTCCCGTCCGGTGGGGGGTGATTAGAGGGATGAAAGGTGATTTACACGTCTGACTCCCTGGCACAGGGCTGGTAACCAGATGGGAGTGTCCCTATGGTATCTTTTTTTTTTTTTTTTGGGTTTTTAATTTAATGTCCTTGGAGGTGCTCTCTGCTTAATCTAGAATCCCTGGGGCTGCCGAGGAGCCTGGGTGACAGTGGCTGGTTCTCTTGCCAGAGCCCCCTGGTGGCCGCATCCTCCTCTTACTAGCGGTCCAGCACCTGAACCAGACACCACTGTGGCTGTCCTGTCCCCATTTTACAGATGAGCACTGCACAATTCAGGGAGGCAAGAAGCCCAAGGCCCCCTGGCTAGCAGGTGTCCAAGCTGGGATTTGAACCACAGTCTGTCCACCTCCAAGTCTGGCCCCTTCCCTTCTCCCAAGAGTTTGATGAGTATGTATAGAACCACGGTGATGTTTCTGGAAGGAGTACGGGAGAGAAAAGAGAAATGACAATTCTGCAGGAGGTGGAGACGGACATGGGGCAGAAATACTCTCAGAAAGGGACTTTTTCTTTGAGTAAAACAGAGTTTTGCAGATTTTTTTTTTTAAAGATTTTTTATTTATTTGAGAGAGAGAGAATGAGAGATAGAGAGCACGAGAGGGAAGAGGGTCAGAGGGAGAAGCAGACTCCCTGCCGAGCAGGGAGCCCGATGCGGGACTCGATCCCGGGACCTCAGGATCATGACCTGAGCCGAAGGCAGTCGCTCAACCAACTGAGCCACCCAGGCGCCCGAGTTTTGCAGATTTTTTAACCCAAGTGCTTTTATGATGAGCGTAACATTATAAGGGATTTGAGTGTGAAATGTCAATAGAATAGATGAATTAAATTTGGGTCTAAAGCCAATCAAAGCAATTATGATATGAAATATGAATGTTCTTATAAAATATGAATGTTCATATGAAATATGACCGGTCATACTGCCGGGGCTACTTCTCCCTGGGTGTTGCAAACCTCCCCCCAAACAATAACTGGTACCAGGATTTCCCAATTGGTCATATGACTTGGAGCATGTTGATGGGGCTGCATCCTAAGGTAGTTAGGAACCTTGCCTGTGTATCAGATGGCGGGTTGGACTTATTTCTGCAGAGAAGCCTGATACCACTCAAAGGCCTGCTGATGGGCAGGTGGCATCCTCAGAAACTCAGCGTTGGGAGGAACCTTGCTCGGAGCCATCCGTGTTCACCCTCCCTCCCTCCCTCCCTCCCTCCCTCCCTCCCTCCCTCCCTCCCTTCTGCAGCATGCCCCAGGATTTGTCAGAGGCCCTGAAGGAGGCCACCAAGGAGGTGCACATCCAGGCGGAGAATGCCGAGTTCATGAAGAACTTCCAGAAGGGCCAGGTGACCCAAAAAGGCTTTAAGGTATGTGGCCTGGTGGGACCAGCACCGCTGGAGGGTGTGACGGGTGTGAGTGTGTCCGAGGTGCTCAGGCCAGTGGTTTAAGTGGGGATTGGGACCAGGGATGCTGAGGGACCAGAGGGGCATGTCCAAGGGAATCATGTTGCAGATGACATTTGAGGCTTAAAGAGGGCAGGTGACCTACTCAAGGTCACGTAGCAAGTGCACAGCCTGCCATGTAGTGCCGTGGAGGGGCTAGGGTAGTAGAGCCAGTTCCTGAGCCCCTGTTCTGTGCTGGGCATTTTACGCACTCCATTCCTAATCTGTGCCTCAGCTCTGGGTAAGGAAGATGAGGAAGGGCAGGCTCAGAGAGGTGAAGTAGCTAGCGGGAGGTCACACAGCCAGCAGGTAAATGGGAAAGGCTGCAATCAGACCAAGGCTGGTTTCCCTTCAAAGCTAGTGCTCCTGACCTAATTCTGATGTGCCTCTGAAGGTAAGGGGTGGCATGGGTTCGAGGCCGAGCACAACCACTTGCTCACAGGAAGATTGTGGGCATCTCCTCTGTGAAGTGGGATTTCGACAGCAGGGTCTTCCTAAGCACCCGCTCTCTGCTGGGCACGGATTTTGCTGTTTCCCAGCACGGCTGAGGAATTCATGCAAATAGGAAGGCGAGCGCTCGAAGAATCGGGCAGGTGTCAGGTGTTCAGACATCAGTGCGAGGAGAGGCTTGATCAGGTTGAACAGAAGGTGCTGGGGTGGGGAGCTCTATCCCCTGACTCCTGACACCCCTCCCTCCCTTTTGCGGCCTGCACCCTCCCCCCACTTCCAGCCGGAGAGATGCTTCGGTGACACGTGTCATACGGTTCCAGGGGTTCAGGCCCTTGGCTGCCACGTCTAGTCTTGGCTTCCTCTCCCCGTCGTCCACCCCCCCCCAAGAAGATGGCATATACCCAGTTGTTGGACTGTGGCTGCGGGCAGCAGGATCCAGGGAGGTGACTGCCGGAGTATCCCATCCCCAGACACTGGGACTTTGGATCTTGCCTCTAAGCCACTGAGTCCAAAGTGGGCACGAAGATCCGGGAGAGAACCCCGTGCTCATGTAGAGGATGCTGATGGAGGGGGGCATTTATCACCACAGCTTCGGAACTGAGGGCCAAGTGCCAGCCTCTGTCTAGTACTTGACCTGTGTCACCCTCCTTGACTCAAGTCAGCCCCCTTTAGGACATCGTTGTCCCCTTTGGCAGGGGAGGGGACCAGGGCTTGACGGGACAGTCACTCGGACCTTCCATGACCCAGAGAGGGCAGGTGGCTTACCCAGGGTCACACAGCCCAGGGAGCTGAGGTTAGAACCAGGTTGGCACACTTGATAACCCAGGCTGTTTTGTATCCAGCTGCCTGGCTTTCTGCCCCATTGAGAAGGTTCATGGCTCAGAAATAAGTCGGAAACCTCAACCAGTGGTCCTCCTTCAAACTCAGACTAGAGTATTAATGTGTAACGGGAGATTCCCAAGCCAAGGTGTGCTGAGCCGGTCCCCCCAGCCCAGCCTCTGGAGGTGGTGGGGTTCAGAGTGGGTCTCAGGGAAGGAGAATCGGAGGTCAAAGTCCAGAGGGGCTGGGAGGCTCCCCGGAAGGCTTTCATTCAGGTCCTCCCTTGCTCCAGAGCTGTGCTGGCTCCTAGCAACGCCTCGGCCTGACTCCAGTTTTCATTTCTTGCTCCTGTGAGGTCTCACCGTCTCCTACGTTCTCCAAGCCTAGTTTCCTTTTCCGTAAAGCGGGGATAGCAACTCCTCTGTTGGGGTTTTATAAGGAATAAGTTAGGCTGCGTGTTCATCCAGTGGAGTGAAAGGGTTTTCAGTTCCACTGGGGGGGGGGGGGGGGGCGGCAGCAGGCGGGAACCCAGCCTGGGGAGTCCCCGAGGGTCTCGCTAAGGCAGCCGCGAAGGGGCTGGGTGGGGTTCTTGCACGAGGCCAGCAGCCTGACCTACTCGTTTGACCATTTCAGCTGGTGATGGCCTCTCTTTACCACATCTACGTGGCCCTGGAGGAGGAGATCGAGCGCAACCGGGACAACCCGGTCTACGCCCCCCTTTACTTCCCAGAAGAGCTGCACCGCAAGGCTGCCCTGGAGCGGGACATGGCCTTCTGGTACGGAGCGCACTGGCAGGAGGCCATCCCCTACACACAGGCCACACGGCGCTACGTGCGGAGGCTCCAGGACGTGGGGCGCAGGCAGCCGGAGCTGCTGGTAGCCCATGCCTACACCCGCTACCTCGGCGACCTGTCGGGGGGCCAGGTCCTCAAGAAGATCGCTCAGAAGGCCCTGGCCCTGCCCAGCTCCGGGGAGGGCGTGGACTTCTTCACCTTCCCCAACATCGCCAGCCCCACGAAGTTCAAGCAACTCTACCGCTCCCGCATGAACTCTCTGGAGATGACCCCCGAGGTCAGGCAGCGAGTCCTCGAGGAGGCCCAGACTGCGTTCCTGCTCAACATTCAGGTGAGGGTCTGGCAGCCCAGGGCGGCCGCCGTC